TTATTTGACCCAACATTACCAAAACAATCAATGCATAACGGCTTAAAAGCAATACAGTCTTTTTTCTTTTGCTCAATGAGACAGTAAGAGAAAGGAGGAAAGAAAAAAAAATGAGGTGCTCACATGATAAAAATGCTTATCAACTGAAGTAAGTTGAGCAAGATGGGAAAATATTTGGCTCTTTGGCGGAATATTTGACTCTTGACTCTCTGTCGTAATCTTTAAGCTTTGCTGGCACTTGGTTTATACCTCCTCAACTCAAGCCAAATGTTTCACCTTCATTAGCCCTTTCCCTCAGACAATAGTTACTTATATCTGTCTAGTGATACCACTGCACTCCACCTTGCTTAACCCTCCAATTCACAGAAGTGATCAAAATTTAACTTCTCCCCATAATATCTATATATTACCCAACAAACAGGTAATAAGAATACTTAAAGTAATCTCAGCTAAAAGTGGTTATCTTGATCTAACACCATATTCTTGTAACTAGTTTACAAGGAAATGTGTAGCTGCTAGAGGGGAGAATTAACAATCAGATTTTGAGAGTTGGAAGGCTAAACCAGCAATGCTCCTGTCCATTGTGCCAGTCCAAAGCTGGTTAATGATCATTACTTCTAATTCTGTTCACTCTGAGTGTTGGGACAAGTATATAAAATACTTTTAAAAAGCGGTAAACCTAACACTGGAACTCACAACTTTGAAAAAATGAACTTAAAATCTCTGATGAAACCAGAGAGCTGACATTTCAACTTTAAAATATTTCCATAATTAATTTTGTAAAGGTTTGAAGTAAGATTATAATTGCAAAATATTAAACCAGCTGTAGGTACATCAATAGATAAGAAAACAATGTAAATAACGCATTTCCTCAATTGACCTTGCTTGTCGTCTACATTTGGAAGTCGAATCTTCCAACCACTCTAAGTTCCCCATTATATTATGTATTTAACGACTAAATCTAAGTTAATGGCACAATATTAAGAACAAGTAAACCCAGAATGATAAATAATATCCTAACCACTTTTTCAAGGATTTTTAACTTGTCATGTTTCGTGGATAGTTTCCGAAACTTAATTTGCAACTTTCGTTTTTATCACATCGTAAACCAAACATAAAAACATATAAAAGTTGTTGGCAGCATGTCAATCGATTTAACATTTGAGAGATAAAACCCAATAAAAGCCCCAAACCAATTAAAAAACACACTCTGAAAGACTACTACTGCGCGATCTTTCAAAGGAAGATCTTTTGCCGTGTTCTGCTCTATCACCTGCTTAAAATCATAACAAAGTAAAGAACACTCTACCTCTACATTTCCCTCTGCAATACCGAACTGAAAATTCTCCTTTGCCTCCCAAACTTGAGAACCTGCTTCAATATCGGCTGTGGACGGAGAAAGTTTACTGAAGAGAAAGAGCGTTAGCATTAGTTCATGAAGCGCCATGATTTATCTTGTTCAACAGTAGATTTCGCGGTGAATGTTTTAATGTTTTGAGAATAAGTTAATCAGTCAACGATCGGAAGAACAATGGTTTGTCGGCTTCTTAATGGATTACTGAGTGTGATTTTACGTTCAAGGTAATGTTTCCTAAGAAACTGAATAATCTTTTAAACTGGGTTCTAAAATAATCGCGCTTTGGTCCTCTACTGAGGCAAAACAAGAAAATCGCGTGTTTCAAGTTTATCTTGTTACTGATTCGAAACTATAATCTCCTTACATAGTCACGCAATTTCCGTTATGCGCGTAGGTCGAATGGTGCATTAAAGCGTATTATGGAAATCTTCCCTCGATTGGTCTTATCAAAATGAGACGTGAACAGATGGTCAGTCGAAATCAGCTGACTATTTATGACTTGCGATACTTCGAAGCGTCGTTAAGATAGTGTACACAGTATTTCAGCCGATAAAAGGGGAAAAACTTGCAGGAAATCTCTCCACTTTCGCTTGTCTTCTGCGACATGTTGTGGATTGATCACGGAAGAAAATATTTTCCCGCCGGTGGTTCAATTCTGCTGTTATCTTTTGTCTCTTTGTGGTATTTAACAACGGCTTCATCTCAAGGCTATTGCGACAAAGATGGATGTGATGAGATCGGGCAAAAAGGTATTCCTTTATAGTTTATTTTAAAAAGATTTTTAATAAAGTAAGGTCAACGACTTCAAGACTTCTTTCAAGTTTTCTGGCTGTTCTGCAAACGATCGATGCTCTAAATGAATTTTCCGCCGGTTCACTAATAGACATTTAGAACTGTGTTTTATATGAAAACGAGAACACCTTTCTAAGCAACGCGTACGCTGAATACACTTAATTGTTGTATTATGTCAGGCATAGACCTGCCACGAACACATCCAAAATGTTTGTATTTGAACAAAAAATACTTTTGCCGATTTCAGTGGCACTTTTGTACCTACATTAAAATAAAGCCGCAATTGGAGAAACGTTTGTTTAAGAGGTAATGTTTGAGCCGTAGTATTTTTTGACATACGTATAATTTTCTGATTGGTTTGTTTATCGCGGGGTAACCACATGGCCACGTAATTTATACCCAGAGCCTCAGTCGCCACTCACCTGTGCTCACCTTACAGGCTTTGGACAAAAGCGGCCTCTGCTGATATTTGATCGGCTAGAAGAGCAAAAACAACAATTGAAAAAAATAGGAAAATGATTCATTTAATATTGAACTTTGAGGTTCCTAGTTTTTATGTACACAACATGAAATCCTTGTTCAGAACAACAGGTGCATTGGATATCAGAAGGGGGGTTTAGGAGCATGAGTAGATATTTGAACATATTAATTTTTTCCAGATAACATAATGAAGTCGCAGGGGTGAGAGAATAAAGCTCTTAAAATTTTCAGATTCAACATCTACTTCTCCATCAGTTTTACTAAAGAATACAAGATGATTAGGAAGGAGAATCTAACAGTTGATCAGAACTCATAAAGCAATTTTTTTCCACCTTTTCAATTCCTTTCTCATAAGAGAAGTCACATGTGTTTCACATCTGGGATGGAAAGAATTATTTCTTTTTCTTTTCCAGGCCACTTGAAACCTTTTGGTGAGCACAGACAAGCAGAAGGTGAAGTTTCAAGTCTGCAGTATGCGCCTGGTGGTGCTGACTTCTATCACAACTACATTCACAAAAGGAGGCCAGTGGTCATCAGAAATGGAGCTAACCACTGGCCTGCAGTCCAGCTATGGCAAAATGAATCTTACTTGACCTCAAATTATGGATCTGAAATTTTCACTGTAGAATATCGCAAGAAATTCAAAAATGAATTTCCGGTCCGAAAACCACTGGCTTTTAGAGAATTCTTGAATATTTATAAACAGGAAAATGTGTACCTGGATTCTGCATTTCCACAGAACAGTGCCATGTTGAAAGACATTTTTCTTCCATCAATTTTAAACTGCCATGAGATATGGTCAACCATAGACAACCTGAATTTATTATTTAATGGTGGGGAAGCAAATTCTGCTTTTCATCATGATGGATTAGAAAACATTATTACAGTTGTATCAGGTTCAAAGAAGGTATATCTGGTCAACAGCACATATGCAAAGGAACTTCATGCTGATCAGTTTACCATTGCTCCAGGAGTCCTTTCCATTGATCCAGAAAAGTTAGATTTGGAGATGTATCCCAAACTAGCAGATGTACCTTACTATGAAGTAACTTTGAATAGAGGTAAGTAGCCTTGTTCATTTTTTTAAAATTATTTTTATAACCAGTAATTTTTATCTCTTCCACTGGATCTCATCAGTAACTCTAGTTACCATACATATCTTATGATATTAGTTCTGAGAAGTTGGTATTGGATCAACTAGAATAATCCCTGAACCAATATTTTTCTTTGTTCTCATCACTTTTCTGTTAATATATTGTATTAATAGTGTAGGGAGAAATTCTGTCTTGGTCAGTTAAGGGTTAAGAATATATCTTCAAAGTAATTGCTGCCACTGGTGTCGCAAAATTTCACATTCTCTGATAGGTGACATGTTGTATATCCCTCAATACTGGTGGCACATAGTGAGATCATATGACTCCCCTAACATTGGCATCAATGTCTGGTTTGCAATGTTCAACTTCGAAGAGCAGTTTAGAAAAGAAGGGATTTCTGAAGACACTGATGTTACAAAGGTACTCTCCCTAATCTTTGATACCAGATTGTTATACTTTTTAAACAAAGATTGTAATACTGTATTTAACATATCCCAGTGGCTGGTGTCAGAAATGTGATTGGTCAGTTTAGCATTTATGAAGTGGAGTATAGCCTTCCAGAATTTGAAGCTGTCAGTTTTTTCCAAATGTTTTGCTTTATGTGGCTAATTGTAATTAACTTTTGTTAGCAAGTGGGAGTTTTTAAAAAACTTTTGTCTTCTGTAGATTTTGTTTAAAAAGGTGCTAGTGACTGACGAATGCTAAATTAACTTCCTTTGCTTGTAGCATTCATCTTTCATTTGAAGCTGTGCTGCAAGGTTAGAAATTAAATCCCAAATTCATGCACAGTAAAGATATGATGAATATTTCACAGAGCATGTCTGCTTAGTCTGGACTCCAAGTTAGGAATCCCCTTTTCCCCTTTGAATTTTGGCCCGTAAATTTCACATTCAAAGTGTTTTGTCCATGACTTTGTTACAATATGTCCCTGTCAGGGTTCAAGCCCAAACTCAGACAGCTAAAACTATTGTCCATTCTGCCAATTAATTCTTTTTTCTTCTTGTATTTTGTAGGTAACAGAGCTGTTTGATAAGCTAGTTGGTGATGAGCCTGACAGGATTCAGTGCCCAGAAGAGAAACTTGCCTTGAATGACATTCTCAAAATCAACACTAGTGACCCAAGTAGTGGACCCCTAAGGATTCCAAAACAGAACGAGAGACCACCAGATGTTGTCCTTGCAAGTGGATATACAAGTGAGTGATGACCAATAATAAGCATGATACTGATTGTGTTATTTGCTGTAACCATTTGATGTTAGAACAATTTTCAACTGAGCATGAAAAATAATCCAGGATTGCAATTTGGTTTAATGCTTTATCTCACTCTGAGGTTGGTCCAGAAAACTTGTGCCACTTTCTCAAGCAATTAGATGAAAGACTACTGTAAGCCAATCACAACTTGGTCCCCTGCCTTTTCCATGCGTTAAGCAGTTCGGTTGTCTTTACTTTTGGTTCCCATTGGTTCTTAAATGTATTTTCCTTCTTCTGACTGGCCATTGTGATTGCTTTGGTTTTGGTTTTACAACACTCAGTCAAAAAGCACACTAACCATGTCGAGTGATGTTTTAAAATTCTGTTTTATGCTTTCTTAAGTACAGATAGAATGATATGGGAGAGAGGGTTTTGGAAATGGGTCTAGGTGAAAATGTTCTTGAAGTTAAATTTTCAGGCTTTGTTTGTTGGAAGGTTGGATAACTCTGTCCAATGGACAGCTC